GGGGTGGGATCATCTGTGTGTGTGTGTGTGTGTGTTTGGGGGGGGATTGTTCTGATGTACCAACCAGCTTAATCTGATAAACAGATTGCCTCATATTTTCTCTTAGCAAAAATTTAGCCTTCTACTGCACAGTACACTCACACTGGAGGTTCCTGCACATGCAGTGTGGCACATCTTGTACACAATGTTGTACACAATGTTGTACACTTTTCATCTTGTCAAGGGTAAATAATTTTCATTTCTTTTTTTTTATTTCAACTTCCTACGAGAAGCTTTATTTATTTTGTTTTGTTTGTTTTATTTTTTATACTAAGTTTTTTTTTCAGTATAGCCAACCTTTTGCTGTGGTTCTCATGTAAAACTATTTGTATTACATGAGATTTGACAAACTTTAAACATTTGAAGGTCTTGCGACCAAATGATCACAAGACAACTTACTTATACTTTATCAGATATTCAGGGTAGGCTTGCTCAGATTTAAATATGACAAAAATTGATGGTTTATATTCACTATCAACACAGGAATCATACAGATCACCGTGTGGTCGTGAGGGGTCTTTTGGTGGGGGGCGAACGAAATCTCCCTTCCCTCTGGTATAAGTGCCAACCAAGACTTTAGAAACTAACAACTGCTTAGAGTCAGTATAGTTATGAGAATAGCTGGCCTGACTTGCAAAATAGCTGCCTTTTCCATAAAGAGTGCCAGAACTCATCCCACTTATTCTTGGGTCAAATCCTTGCTGGCAAACTGCAGGGATGTATCTTTCCTTGGTACCATGAAACAGATAGCGCTCTTCAACTCCTCCTGGTGGCTGTTTCTTTTCCATCCACAATTTTTTCCTAAATAATAAATAAATAAATAAATATATAAATAAATAAATATAAAATTAAAAATAGGATGATTGAACGATAGAACTCCCAGAATATTTAAAGCTCGAGAATCAACAATGAATGTGAAAATTTACAATGCAGTGTGTGACATCTGTTTTATTTGTCATTAATTCAACATTCAGTAGTATACAATCATATAACATGCACTGCATGTAACTTAATTAATTATATAAAGTACTTATATTCAGAATTCAAAATTTTAATCCATTGCAGATTGAAATAATATCATTTCAAAAATGGAAATAAAAAATCATCTGCTTGTACATATGATGATGAACCTAACTACCAAATATTAGAACCACAGGCCAAATCAATCTGTATAAGGTAGTTAAAAAAAGTAGGCCAATTTGTCCTATTTCTACTGGTTATATTATTGCGGAGAACATCAACGTGACCTTGACCTATAACCTAGCAACATCACTACCAAATATGAGGACTGCAGACCAATCATAAATCGTTTTCTTTTTATTTTTCAAAGAAGATCAGGTTACAGATCTACCAACTGAGAGGCAAATTAACAGACTGATCGACAGGTCCAAAGGGGGGGGACATTTATTGAAATAAAGAAGTATAAAAAATAAAGTGAAATCTGTAACATCCAGACTGTACATTCCCCATTTTTTTTTACATGTTTACCTGGAATATCCATCCCAGATCTCTTGATTTTGTATTCTCTCGACTGAAGAAATTGTGTACTGTGACATGGATTTACGAAAGAGATCTGAAACCTCTACAAACTCTCGGTGTGTTTGTGGGAGCTGCAATTTTTTCAAAAGAATAATAAAATCTATAAAAAGAGATGAGTTAAGAGTCATTAATGTATCAAATTATTAAACAATATTAAAATTAACATACACATGTACTTGCAAGGGTTGCAGTAGGATATTTATAATGAGTCACAGTAAATAATACTGATCTACTGTAACATGTGTACATATACCCATTATATACCTCCTCCTCAATGACCAATACCCACTACTGCCTTAGTTTACTTTCAAAATTCTGCTCTTAATTTGTTGTCTAACATCCAGACAAGTTAAGCAATACTAGTACATATGGTCCAAGAAAGGAAGAAAGGTTTTCACTCACCTTTACCAGTTGATAAGAGTTACTGATCATTGGTGCCGTGGTGTCCCAGTGAGAAGGTACACCAGGTGGGGCAGTAGAGACTGCTGCTGAGGCATCACCAGGTTGCCTTCTGTCAGATGATCTGAAATATACCCACATGTGGTAATTTTGTATTATAATAATATTTATGTTCTTAGCTTGATATGTGATTACATTACCTTACACCTGTATATAAATTGTAATGTACTGAAGCTAGATCATGATAATAAAGATTCCAATAATAATGCCAGATGGGAAATATCTAATATTTTCTTTCGTTTTTTGGCTAAAATTTACTGTAATATATGGTAACTTTTACAGTAATTAACACATCAGATGAAATGCCAGTATAAGGTTCAAGCTTTGAGATCATTAATTATTACTTGTTAAAGTTATGGATGATCAAATGCCAATACATTTATTATAAAAAGTAGTAATATAATGTATAAACTTCTACCACATATTACCATACACATATTTTCACATGAACATTACCAGTATTTATTCCTTCAATGGTCAAGACGAAGATCTTAACCAAAGTAATTAAGTCTCACACAGTATAAGGATTTAAAAAAAAAACTGAAGTCTTTATTTCTTTTCATCTAAACCACCTGATAATTATAATGACTTAAAGGCATGATATATGTAACACATTTAACTGTATTCACAACTCATTCTACAAAAAAAAAGTGTTTGCAATGCAGTGCTTACTTTTGCCTTAATGCCTGTGTGAATTCCTCAGGTGAGACATAAACAGGTCTTCTGCGCACTTTTCTTTCTGTTCCAATACGAATATTTTTCTGAACCATTTTCTCAAAATCTAAAACATATTGATGTTCTGGTGTTTCAAAATCAATTTCTCCAAGTTTGTCTTCCAAGAATGCTGCTTCTATTTTCTTTGAGTCCACAGAAGATGTACCAGTAGATTTGAAACTAAATGCTCCTACCCGTAGGCCTGCAACTGGAGCTGGAGTGCCCTGGAAAAGAACAATTAAAACTCAGTACCACAGACCCTTGCTATGACTATTTTTTTCTTGTGTTAGATCAACTTAGATGTAAATTGGGGGCTGTAGCAATAGTCTGAAGGTTCGGTTACGTACTATTACTCCCCGCACCGATACTCCCCTGCACTGATACTCCCCCGCTTCTTTACATCCCCGCTCCGATACTCCCCCGCACCGATACTCCCTCGTACCGATACTCCACAAAAACACTACTCCCCCAAGGCATAGATTCCCTTGGCTTTGTAAACCCCATTCGTAATTTACAACACTTTCTATAATGCTTTTTTTTTCAAGATGCACCACCCTCTTTGGACCCAGAATTGACTAATTTTATTCGAAATATATTGGGAAAAATAAAGAACGTTACACGAAGTCAATCTCAGACTTAATGTGCTTGACAGTACGTAGGTCTACAGCTCTTCCTTGTAATTTTTGAGAAATGTTTTTGCAAAATTAATTTCGTTCTCCTACTGTACTCAGTAGTTACTGTATATATATTGTACGGCCTTTTATTTATTTATTATTATTTTTATTTTTTTATTAACTTAAGGCAAAGTTAGTTTTAATCTAAGATAACGCAGCTATGTCTTTTTTTTTCAGGCAACGATGAATTCGTAAAATTATTAAGTAATAAAAAAGAAGTGCTTAAGCGCTTCGTTTTCTGTCTTTTTCCTCCAACCTTCTTTTCTGCTCTTTAAGCTTCTTTCCCTTGTCTTTTGAATCTGAATTAGATTAGAATCTGAATTGAGCAAAATTCAAAAATTTTGAAAATTGTTGCACAACGAAATTGTCGAGACACGAGCATGCGTCGTGAACACGCCTTTCATACTCGCAGTCCCGTCGTGTTTTCGATTTTGTTCGTTATAGATGTGAGGGCGTGCGCCGCACTCAACACGCAAAGGGCTCTTTCTCCTTCATTTCTTGCGCCGTGCATCTTGGACCAGGCAAGTCTCACTTGCAAATCAATTGCAAACTCCTTAGAAAGGGAGCAAATTACGCTTGTGGCCTCGCTGTTCGCAGATTATTCGTGGAATCTATTGCAAATGTTCAATATCCTCCGTACGTGCTGTCATACGTGCGAACTCGAAATTTTGCATAAAGGACTTGTGTGGTACATGAGATTCTCCGCAAAATTTGGACTTAAACGGGTCGTAGATTTTGATCCACTTACCTAGACTGACCCTAACCTGTATAATTAAATGGAGGGTTGACTCTGTTACTCGATCCTCAGTTTCG